TATTTTGGATTGGTTTTTATCGAATCGACATTAAGTATTTGTCTAAATGTGGTTTTACTACATTTTTTTTCTTTTTCGAACGGCATTCCGATATTCAATATTCACCGTGCYTTGACTTTGGATTGACTCATACACAAAAGATCAAATTTACAATTCATAAATAGAAACAACTGCCTATTAATTCGTTTCCTCTTACAAATTCCATTCTAGAGTTAATTACACTTTTCACCAACAATTAAGTAATTAACTCTCCGATTTTAAAAAATATCCTCCTAATTTTTTCTTTTCTTTTCAATGGAGCTCCGTAAACGGAAAATCCGAGCTCCGTTACCCATATTCGTAACTATTACGTTATTCCTCCTTCAGCTTTGGGCCGTTACGGCCCATACCAACAATAGCGGTGAATCTTCCGCACAACCCTCTGTTAACTCCCCGTTAGTGAAGACCAGTACTCGATTGCTGTCGTCATCACCGTCGTTCACGGGAAAAAGATTCTCGTTCCGGTTTAGGTGGAGGAAAAGACGACGTCGTAACAAAGTGAACAGAGCGAGCATAGAGTTTCTATTCGCACACAACCTCATACGAGCGCGCGTGGGAGAACCGCCGTTAGAATGGGACGGGAGACTAGCGGCGTACGCGCGCGCGTGGGCTAATCAGCGCGTGGGAGACTGTAGGCTTGTTCATTCCAACGGTCCGTTTGGAGAAAACATATTTTGGGCCGGACAGAATAATTGGAGGCCCAGTGACGTTGTTAAAGTTTGGGCCGATGAGAATAGGTTCTACGATGTGAAATCTAACACGTGTCAGCCGGAGCAGATGTGTGGACATTACACGCAGATCGTGTGGAAAGATAGTACCAAGGTTGGGTGCGCACGTGTGGATTGTTCGGATGGTGGTATATATGCGATTTGTGTTTATAACCCACCGGGAAATTACGAAGGTGAGAATCCGTTCGGGAGTTATACAGACAATATTGGTCTTACCCGGGATGATCCACCGGCGGTGATCGTGTAACCACCGATGGGAATGGCTTGAGAGCGGAGGATACGGCGGTGGAAGGACATTCATGTTAGTTGTTTAATTTTGTTTTCTTTACATTCTTTGGGTTTATGGGTTTATTCAGTGGAAGTATCATATACTAATTAAATACTAACTGATTCATTGAACAATTTTATAATTTCGACATTTTCATGGCAAAGCGTTAGATTTTGATGTATCCGATGATGACAACTAGGCAAGTAAATAAGTGAAGACTAAAATGGGAGAATGACAAAAGTTTTTAACAAAAAAATTATGTCCAAAACTTCCTATATTTTTATTGGCTGAATTAAACGTAAAACCCCAGAAAAATAATACATCACCTCACATGGTACAAAAAGAATGGCTTGGCTTTTCTCCCTCTGCAATGCAACCTTTCCTGTTATAATCCAAATCATTGTTACTCCCATTTTGAGACTATCACAAGCCCCCACTTTCTGATGACCGATAACGAAATAACCTGCGAATTTAGACATCAACAAGTTACTATGCACATCTACTTTATCAGTGTTTACATAAGTCTAAAGATTCAATCAAAGAGTTTAGAAGCTAACCTTTGCACTGTCCCTAAGAAACAGCAGAGATCAGAGAGATCTGTGTTAGTTTTGCATTTCGTCGATAATCGCTGAATCTCTAGAGAGTTTCAAGCTGCTGCAGACTTTGGAGACTCGCTGTCTCTGATAACTCTACTATAACAAATCTTGAACGGTTGAGAATCATAAGGCCGGTTAAGCAAACTGATTGGCATTCTCAGTGTCTGTTTCCTGTTTCTCCTTCCTCTTAACAAAATGCTAAACGTTTTCTCGCTATCCTCGGGTTTCCGGTTCCCATTCTCCATTTCACTGCTAGCCACTGCGTTGCTCACATGATTAACGGAATTGGTAACTTCATCCGCGGTTGCCACATCTCGATTGCCTTCTTCGTTTTCTTCTTCTACACCTGAAGTGTCGATATCAGTTGGTAGAATCACAGTTGGCTCTAACACAGTTGCAGCTATTGGCTCGGAAGCGATCATGTGTGGAGGGGAAAACTCAACGGGGTGGCATCCGGGCCAAACCGTTCTTGGTACAAAATCCGATACATTGAGCTGCCATGGGAACTGATTGGGATGGAAAGGACCACTGGTTACAGGGTAAGTACTTGTGGGGACTGACTGAGTGTAAGTAGGAGGGTAAACAAAAGACATTGGCTGCATCAAGTTTGGAGTTGTAGGAGGTGAAGGGTAAGGAGGAGGAGGTCCGTGATGAAGAGTCATGTTCACTGGCCACGATGGTCCAATGTTCATGCCTATCGGAGTAGGACGTATAATACTTGGAGGTGATGATGGGTTGAATGGAGCAGCTGAAGCAGATAGCTTCTTGTTAGGTAATAATAATACTCGCGGGGCATCGCTTGAGTCTGTAGCAGATACTCCCAGTTTTTCTTTCAGATCATCAGAATCAGCTGCTAACTGATCTCTCATTTCTTGCTCAGTGGCTGAGTGCATATCTGTTACACCGTCATTTATCGATTCAGCTTCGAGTACTTGTTCTTCCACCTGAATACCACCACCAGATTCTTCGTTTTCATTCAAATTGTTCCCTTTGTCTACCACTTCAGATGATTGCAACTCAACTTTGATCTCTTCTTCGCCTTGAGTTTTGCTATTATCCGTGTCTTCAGAAACTTCATTTTTAACCTCTTCATCTGACACACTAATCATCTGCACATCCCTTGTAAGCTCCAACGATGCACCTTGTTCAGTTTCTGTCTCCTCTTGCTTGTCTAAAACTTCGGCTTGTGGAGCCCAGACTTGATACTTGGCAATGGAGCCAGGTGGTGCCAATGCTACTTCCTTGTAGGATGGAGATTTTCCAAGACTT